AATTACAGGAAAAGGAGAACAATCAAAGGCTTCTGCTCAAGTATGAAAGCTGCCTTAACAATGTTGTGATTCAATGTACAGTGATTTTACAGAAACGTTTTTGTTGTTAGTATTTATATAATCTAAGAAAGAGTACACTTAAACAATTTACAACTATTTGGAGTGTTATTGATTATGCAAACCTAATCCATTAATGTATCTCATATCTTATGTAACGGTGAAGTTGAACATTAAAATGAATATAGTTTTGATGTAGCTCTTATTATTATTACTTTAAAAAAAAAAAAAAAAACTAACGACTCACTACCATGGAGTCGATTGTCTCCAAGACCATAAATCTTTGCAGAAGTGGATGGCTCCCATCTTCCTCCCGTGGAGCTGCTGGTGGGTTTGAACCACTGACCTTCTGGTTAGCAACCAGATGCCTTGTCCACTATGCCACTAGAACTCCAATTTTGATGTAGCTCTTAAACACTTTTACTTCAAATTCTATTGTTTCCTTAGCAAGTTTTCACTTCAACCACATCGAACTATGTAAATGTGCCTTTAAGCTATGTATGTGATACTGTGATTTAAAGGTGTAATCTGAGTTTTGCTAGTTGTTTATGTCACTACTATTGCCATTAGGTTCACTGATATGTGGGAATTACGATTTACAAATAACACTGGTACAAAAAACATTACTAAGGATTCTGTATCATCTGATATGGGAGGAGGTCCATGAGGTGGCTGAAGCCATGAGTTGCCACACTGGGTGACACCACCCCTAGTGATGTCACTGCCGGTAGCCAGGATTTGAATCCAGGCTGTAGGGAGAGGGGTGAGGGGAGTGGTGAGATTACAATCATGAATCTAGACCAGGGTTCAAATCTAGACTATGGGAGGCAGAGGCAAGGTGAGTTTATAAACACTGATCTCAGTGGGGGAGGGGAATGAGATTACAAGAGTGAATCTCAGAGCCAGTGGCCCAAGTTCAAACCCAAGCTCTGTCTCTTACTTACTGTTTGACCTTGGGTAAGTTCCTTCACCTCTTTGTGCCTTAATTTCCTCATCTGCGAAATGGGACATTCATTGGACCCTCACCTCCAAGGGCTGTTGTGAGGATTATACCAAAACCAAACTCAGTGCCATTGAGTGGATTCCAACTCATAGCGACCCCATTTGGGTTTCCAAGGCAAAAGTAGATTGTTCAGTCTTCCTTCTGTGGAATGGTTTGTGGGTTTGAACTGCCACCCTTCAGGTTAGCAGTCAAATGCCTTAGGCACTATACCCCCAGAGCTCCTCATAGGAGATGATAATTATAAGGTGGTTAAACAATTGACTTCTAACCAAAAATTGGCGGTTCAAACCTGCCCAGAGGTGCCTCAGAAGGAGGGCCCGGGGATCTGCTTCGGAAGGGTCTCAGCCTTCAAAAGCCTGTGGAGCACAGTCCTACTCAATACGCAGGTGGCTGCGAGTCAGAATTGACTTGACAACAGCTGGTTGGATTTTGGGGGTGGGGAGTGGGGTAGGACCAGTGCTGGGATCTCAACGAACATTTGTGGTGATGATGATGATGATAGTGATGGGGGTGGGTAGAGACATGTCCCATTCATTTGTTCAGGTGCTGGCTCCTATGAGGCTGGGTCTGTGTCTGTTTCACTCACCTCTCTATCCCCAGTGTCTAGAATAGGGTCCGGCACACAGTAGGTGCTTAGTAAAGACTCCTGAGAGGTAGAGAGAACCCTGCCAATCTTGCAGGCAAGAAATCTGAGGCTCTCAGGAGCTCTGGTAGCATAGTGCCTAAGGCACTTGACTGCTAACCAGAAGGCTGGTGGTTCAAACCCACCAGGCACTCCTCGGAAGGAAGATGGGGCAATCTACTTCCCTAGAGATACTGCCTCGGAAACCCAAGGAGGGGTTGCTATGAGTCGAGGGCACATAACAACAACAACAACAGGACCCACCCTAGGTTGGTGGATGGAGCAAAATCAACAGAAGGAATTGAAAGGAGACTCAGTGCAGGCTCTTGCTCCTAGTGGGTGCAGACAGGCTGGGTTCAAGGTCTGGTGTCCCTGCTCCGCTATGTAACCTTGCTCATGGAACCTGCCCTGGGGAGCCTCCATTGCCTCATGTGTAGATGGGGTTAACTGGGTCCCCCTCTAAGGATGGATTACGGATTCGAGGTAGGGCAAGCAATGAACACGTGCCCAGCACATAGCAAATGCTCAGTCCAAATGGGTTATTATAGGGAAACAGAGGCTGGGCTGGGTGGAGGGCCACACCTCTCAGCATCCCATATTTATAACACCCAACACAGAAGGGTGTGATAAATAGGAACCAAGGACCTTTGAAGCCAGCCTTACCCTGGTGCTAGGGAGACAGCACACACAGGAGGGACACACGCTCTACTCTGGGAGCATCACAATGGGGGAGACATGTTAACTAGCGATCTGACAATTAGTTGACAATAAAGCTTGGGCCAGGCAGATTTGGAAGAACCAAAAAGCAAACCAAACTCACTGCCTTCGAGTCGATTCTGACTCATAGCAACCCCCAATGGGTTTCCAAGGTGATAAATATGTACAGAAGTAGATGCCCAGTCTTCCTTCCACAGAGTGGCTGGTGAGTTTGAACCACCAACCTTCTGGTTAGCAGTAAATGCCTTAGGCACTACACCACCAGAGCTCCTTCGAGTTGGAAGAAATAACCATAAATGTAAATGTGACAATTTTTCAAGCACTTCTTGATGCTTTGAAGCACTGTCTGTGAATCTTCAACAGCCCAGTCCTCAAACCCCATGTGATCTACCCACTCCGACTGCAGGTGCTGTTCCTACAGTGGCAAGAGACACGATGCAATAACGCCAGCTTCCTGCTTAATGGGGACGATGATGTCTTCGCACACACGAGCAACATGGTTGCCTACTTGCAGGGCCATGACCCCAGCCGCCACCTCTTCGTGGGGCACCTGATCAGAAATGTGGGCCCCATCCGGGTTCCCTGGAGCAAGTACTACATACCAAAGGTGGTGACCAAGGAAGAACAATACCCGCCCTACTGTGGGGGGGGTGGCTTCCTGTTGTCCCGCTTCACAGCTGCTGCCCTGCGCAGGGCGGCCCGTGTCCTGGACCTCTTCCCCATTGATGATGTCTTCCTGGGCATGTGCTTGGAACATGAGGGCCTGAAGCCCGCCATGCATAGCGGCATCCACACTGGAGGCATACAGGCCCCCTCACCACGCCTGCCCTCCTTCGACCCCTGCTTCTACAGGGAGCTGCTGCTGGTACATCGTTTCCTGCCCTACGAGATGCTGCTCATGTGGGATGCACTCAGCCAGCCCAACCTCACCTGTGGCAAGCGAACACAGGTATACTGAGGGCATACAGGAACGTCCAGACTCCATATCCATTGGAAGGGACAGCACTTGCTTCCCAGGACACTGAGAACTTTGTGTTCCTAAGTGTCCTAGGGGTAAGGGAGTGCCGGGAAGAGTTTGGTGAATTAAAATTTTTCCTGGCAAACTCCTACACATCCTTCAAAACCCTAGACTCCCAGCTGGAGGGACCTCTGAAAATGCCTGTCTCCGTTCAGTGGCTGCTAATGGCACTGAAGCAGCTCTGCTGAGGTCCTAGCTGCTGCCTTGTCAATTCCAGTTGGGTCAAGGTTCCACTTCCTAGTCCTGACTTTTGTCACAAGCTGGACCCTAAGCAGGGGTTCCTTGGTAGTAAAGCCACATGATTAATGGTGGAGGAGTTCTAGCCACAGTTCAAGGCAAGCCAGGAGTTCCTGAGTCCCCATGACACTGACATGAGAAGCATCCCTCAGCCTGGAAAAGCGGGGTCCTACTCTTGGCCTCTGCCCCATCATGACCCCCTCAGGTGTTGAGAGGGGCCAGGTAGGCCCTTGAATGTAACTGCCCCCTCCTTGCTTCTTGTGATATCAAGTGCTGTCATGGTGGAAGCCTTGGGTTGAGGAGGGAAACTGCCTGTTTTAGGTGGTGGGAGTTTAGAGGCTCCAACAGGACCTCACCTCTGCACCTGGGCACCCCTAGAATTCAGGGAACAGAGTTGGGGCTGGAGGGGTCTTCACTGAGCCTGAGACTAGCACTCATGGTCACCCCAATGCCCAGAGAACGGGAGGCTCAAGTCTTCAAGTGGCCCAATCCTTCAGCCCCAAGCTCAGCATGTTTTACAGATTGGGGAGGTCCAAGGGAGCTGGCCAGCTCCAGCCCCATGGGTCTCAAGACAGGTGGGTGGGGCTCAGGCTTCACGGGCAGGTGTGGGAGGACCTCAGACAGTGGAAGGAATCCTCAGGGAAGAAAATATTTCTTGAAGACCTTGATGCCTTTTTTGTTTGTTTGTTTCAGTAAAGTAATTTACAGATTTTGATGCAAACCAACCTACAGTCATCCCTAAAAGATTACAATAGAAATTAACCAGTTGCCGTCAAACTGAGTTGTGGTGGCCTTGTGTGTATCAGAGTAGAACTATGCCCCATAGAGTTTTCTTATTTATTTATTTGAAGAAAGCATTATTAAGTTATTTCAATTTTTGTAATTTATTTTGTTGAGAATATGCACAGCAGAACACATACCAAGTTAAGCTTCTACAGGTTGTTAGTTGACATTGATGACATTCTTGGAGTTGTGCCACCATGCACACCCACCTCTGAGTTGTTCCTCCTCCTTTAATATAAACTCACTGCCCCCACGGTTCCTATCTAATCTCTTGTCATCACTTTGAGCCCATATATATAGTTCTTTAAAAGAGCACAGTACTCAAGGCAGACCATCTTTACTAGTTAAACTAAACCACTGTTTGTTTTAAGAAGACTTCAGGGCATGTTTTTGCTTTAAGGTTTAAGGTTATCTCGGGGTGCTACTCCACAGGATTTCAGAAGCAGATCACTGGGCCTTTCTTCTGAGGAAACTCTGGTTGGATTTGAACGTGCAACCTTTCGGTTCGCGGCCAAGCATGTGACCCATTTGCACCTCCCAGGGACTCCAGTAGAAAACTACACCAGTCCAAACAGGGCCTGAGAGAGGTGGGGTCGCTGGGGTTTCTAACAGAATGATCCACCGTCATCCATCCCTGCTCATGCACCTTCTTTGGCGCCCTGTGGCCCTCAGCCCATATCCTCAAGACTGATTCTCACTGCCAACTGGATGGCAGGGAAAGGAATGAAAGGCTGGGGGAGGACTGTTCCTGCCTGGGGCAGGTGGGCTGGGGACGCCGAGGCCACCTTGGCTCCCTGTCCCCGTCTAGGTTGAAGGGAGGGCACAGGAGTAACAATCCGGGCAGGTCCAATGCACGTCAGTGCGACTGCCATTCACATATTTGTGTGTTGTTTCCACCATTCTTGACCTCCTGTGGGCTTCAGTAGAGACCTGCGTTCAAATCCTGAGCGTGGCCGCTCCCTCCCTGTCTGACCATGGACTAGAGGCAGTCCCACCTGGGCCTTGTTGTTAGGTGCTGTCAAATCGGCTCAACCCTACGTACAATGGAACGCAACACCACCCAGTCCTGCACCATCCTCACAATCCTTGCCATGCTTGAGCCCATCACTGCAGACACTGGGTCACTCCATCTCATTGAGGGCCTTCCCCTTTTCCACTGACCCTCCACTATACCAAGCTTGATAACCTTCTCCAGGGACCAGTCCATTCTGACATTTTGTATTGGGATGACTCTCAAATTATTATCAAGCTCCTGAAAGTGTCCACAGGTCTTGTTCAGCCTAGTCCCCTTTTTTTAGAGAAAATGCAAGAAGCTGTTTTGGATTCTGCAAGAGGTTTATTTATTTGCTATTGGAGAGAGAGAGCAGGAGACCCAATGCAGAGAGAGAGGAGAATATGGGCCCTTGCTGTTCTGGCAAAGAACACAAAGCTGTAAGACCGGGGGCCCTCCAAGCCAGATTAGGGTGTGGGTTTGGATTGTTTTTGTTTCTGTTTTTATTTTCCCCCTGTTGGTGTCACAGAGGACAGATGGTGAGCACCCTGTCCCCAGAGATAATCAATGATACCCCTCAAGGCATGAGGCTGTAAGGTGGTTGCCATGTGTCCTCAGGTGCTTGCCAGATCTCTCTGGGCCTCAGGCTCCCCTGAGGAGGGCTCAGTGTGGGCAGAGGGCTAGCAGGTTTTGCTGGGTGCAGCCGCTGATGCAGCACCGCTGGGCAGGGTTGTTGGCAGTGGCCCTCCGGTGCTGGTGGTGATGGCGAGAGGACAGCAGCAAGGGCTGTGGGCCAGGTGCCACCATGAGGTCCCTGTTGGCCGCCAGCCCATGGAGGAGATGTGGTCCCTCCAGCCACTTCAGCATCTCACCTGTGGACAGAGCAGGCTTCAGTGGGGGGCAGGGGGAGGACCCCTGAGGATCCTCTCCCCTGCTATGTCAACACACCTGCATGCTCTCATCCTGCCAAATGACCCACAAAACACAGCAAAAACCAAACTCACTGCCATCGAGTCGATCCTGACTCATAGAGAACCCTCCTTGGGTTTCCAAGGCGGTATCTCTACTGAAGTGGATTGCCCAGTCTTCCGAGGAGTGGCTGGTGGGTTTGAACCGCCAGCCTTCTGCTTAGTAGTCAAGTGCCTTAGGCACTATGCTACCAGAGCTCCCACCAAACATGCCATGCACATTAGCTATAAGCAGTCACACGTATTGAGAGCCTCCTGTACCCCAGGCATCCCTTCATTGCCCCCATTGCTGATGCCCATACTCAGCTGTACACACCATCACACGCCTGGGCGTGACCCAAGGGGGGGGGGGCTGGAGGTCCTGGAGCTGCAGGTGGGGAGTTTCCAGACCCCATCAGAGATGGATCCAAGTGCAGAGCACAGCAGGGGCAGCATGTGGCATGTGGCATACCCTTGTGACTTCACAGCCCCCCTCCTGACCTCCATCCTCAGGTGCACCTCTGAAGACCTCTGGCTTGATGTCACACAGACCCACTTGGGCACACGTGTGTCATGGCATGCACACAAACCTGCTGCACGCACCTTGCACCAGATCTGGGGTGAGAAGGCAAATGAGACCGGTGCACGATTGAAGGGTGTGTCCCATGACTCAGTCATCAGAATAAATACTGTCTTAAGGGAATATTTTTAAAAATCAAATGGAACGCAGACCCACTGTCTTAGTTCTCCAGTGCTGCTATAATAGAAATAACACAAGTAGGTGGCTTTACACAGGAATGTGTTTCCTCATAGTCAGGAGGTTGTAAATCTGAATTCTGGGTGAATTCAGCCTCTCTGGTAAGGCTCACTCTCTGTTCCCGCAGATTATCTCTTTCAGCTTCTGTTCATTAGCTCCTGCCTGAAATGCATGCAGTGTGTATCCCCATTTCTGCTTGCTTCTCTGTGCCTACTCTGCCCCCTTTAGCTCTTGAAGGTGATTGGCTTAAAACCCACCCCACACTATATGCCTAATTAGCATAGAAAAGAAAATCCATTCCCAAACAAGATCATACCACAGGTGTAGGGGTTAGGGAGCCCTGGTGCAGGTGGGTAAGGGCAGGCTGCTGATAGAAATGTTGGCGGTTGGAACCCACTCGCTGCTCCAAGAGTTAAAGAAGTGGCAGTCGGTTTCCATCAAAATTTACGGCCTTGGAAACCCTATGGGGCAGTTCTGTTCTGTCCCATGTGGTCGCTAAGATATCACAGTCAACCTGATGGCAACAGGTTATAGAGGTTAGGGTTTACAACACGTATTTTGGGGGAACACGATTCAATCCATAGCACAGAAATCAAAATATTGGAAATAAAGAATCCCACTGAGCTTGACCCTGCCTTGCTGGCCTCACTCACCTTGAGCCAAGCCAGTCAGGAGCCTATTCAGAGCGCACGCGACCCCATTCATTGTCCAGAGACCACGACCCGTGTGAGCGCGTGCGCCTGCGTGCCCTTTCCCGCGCGCCCCTCCCTACTCACGGTCAACGCGGGTCGCGGGCTTCCCGGCCTCGAGGGACCAGCGCGGGCCACCGCACACTCGCACCAGCGCGCGCACGAAGTGGGCGCCACACAGCTTCTCCCGTGACGCCTCGGGATCCGGCGCAGGGCGTAGCGCCAGCGAGGGACCCAGCAGTAGCAGCAGCAGCGCCATCGCCCGCGTCCAAGCAGGTGGGCAGGGGTCCATGGCGGCGGGAGCACTCGGGCGTTCGGAACCCTGTTATAGGCTCTTGGACGCCCCAGCTGGGGGCCTTGGAGGAGGGACAGAGCATTCCAGAAGATCAAGGGCGAGGTCAGATGGAGGGTCTCTCTCTCCAGTCTAGGACCTTGGCTGTACCTCCCCTGAGAAACAGTCGATGAGGAGCCTTTCTTTTTAAAGCATTTTAAAGAAGTGAAGTAGACAAACTCAGAAATAGCGATCCTGGAGTTCAGGGGCTAGTGAGTTCAGAGCCTGGTGGGCCTATGATTTTACAGATCAGGAAAGGGAGGCTCAGACAGGGGCCCCAGATGTGCCCAAGGTCATGGGGCGGGGTGGGGTGGGGTGCTGAGCCAGCCTAGGTCCCAACCTCTGGCTGAATGGTCCAGGCGGCTCTGCCTCCTGGGAACTAGGGTCTTCTAAGGCTACTGGGGGAGGCTGGGTGGGGGGGGGGTTGAGTGGTGGGGAAGGATTAGGAAGTGGAGGTGGGGCCCCCAATAAAGCGCACGGTTTACTGAGCATCTGCCAGGCTTGGGCTCAGTGGGCATTATGACTCTGTTTTACCAAAGAGGGAAACTGAGGCTGGGAGACAGATGGAGAGTCAACCTGAGGCAGGTGGACCCTCCCACCAAATCAATTAGCCTTTCCACAGAGATCTCTGTCTCAGTCTGTCTCTATTACTCCATTCCTCCCCTCTTCTTTTTCTCTGTGTTGTCTCTCTCTCTGTTTCTCTTGGGTCAGTCTGTGTCTCTCTACATCTCTCCTCTCTCTGGGTCTCTTTCTCTCTGTCTCTCCCTCTCCATCTCTCAGTCTTTCTGTTTCCCTCCCTCTCCCCACTTCCCTTTCTGGATCTCTTTTGCTCTTTCTTTTCATATCTTTACCTCCCTCACACACTCTCTTTCTCTCAATTTCTTGCTCTCTCTCAGGGTCTTTGTCTCTGTCTCTTTGTGAGTCTCTCTCTCCCCTCTTTCTGTCTCCCACCCCTCCTCTCTCTGCCTCTGTGGTCTCTTTCTCCATCCCTATCTCTGTCACTCTCCGTATCTTTCCAGCTGCCAGCAGTCCTGAGGTGGCCATGGCTGAGGGGGGCCTGGTCCAGTCCCTGCTGACGTTAGTCCCCTCCCCACAGTCTCACCCCATCCCCAACCTTGCCCTCTGACCCCCCCAGAGCAGCCTGTTCCCTCCACCCACCAAGGGCTTGTAATCAGCTCCCCACAGGACAGAGCCAAGGCCAGCAGCTGGGACTGGGGACTCGGTGGAGGGGGGTCTGTCCTTAGGGTCCCAGCCATGCCCTGCCCAGCTGTCCCCAGGAACTTCCTCTGCTGGTCTGCGTGGAACCTTCTTGGCAGCCCCTGAGGAGTCTCTAACCTGACCCCCAAACCAAGATCCTCCCCAGCTCACATACCCTCCAGGGCTCCCCATCGCCCCAGGTCCAAACAAACCATCTTTTCCATTGAACTCCTTTGTTTATTCAGCAAACTCTCCCAGCACGCCCTCTGTGCCCACCCTGCCCTCAAGGAGCCCCCAGGCAGGGGGAGAAAGAGCTGGACACAGAATCTTCCAGAGCTAGTATCAGGGCTGGGCTGGAAGGAAGAACAGGGCTGGAGGAGTTGAAGGGACCGAGGAAGGCTGTAGGGAGGTGATCGCTGGGATTTTGAAGGATGAATAAGAGTTTTCCAGGGAGGCCCAAGTGGCAGAAAGGCCTTGCAGGCAGGTGAGGGGGGGAGGTGGGGACTCGACGTGGTCCGGGGACTGGACCTGCAGAAGACACCCAAATACTTCACATGGTGGGCTTTGCACAGCCAGGGAGCCAGCCCATTGGTCTGCCCATTGTACAGGAGGTAGAACTGAGGCCCCGAGAGGGGAAGCAACCGCCCCGCTGTTGCACAGTGCATGAGTAGCAGAAGAGTGGGAGTTCTCACCTTGAACATGTTGTTCCCTCTGCTGAAAATGCTTTACCCTCCCTGGACTACCCGAAAAACTCCCTCCAGGCTTCCACATGCCCCTGAGAGTCAGAACAATAAGGGTTGTACAGGTGGGAGAACTGAAGCCCGGTTCCCTCAGGTGCAGTCAGCAACACACCTAGATCCCAGCCTCTCTGCCCTTTTACACCAACCCAGACAGACACACAGGCCTCCCCTCCCCCAAAAAAGCAAATTTCCAACTGTGGCATCCGCTTTTCTTGGCTTCTTCCAGCAAATCAGGGATGGAGGAGCAGAAGCCTGGAGTCACATATTTAAAGCTACGTTAATGTCCACGTTGTAGATGGAATTGTGTCTCCTAAAAATAAGTATATAAATCCTAACTTCTAAACCTGTTGTTCTAATTCCATTTGGGAAGTGGTTGTCTTTGTTCTGTTAATGAGGCAGGATTAGTGGAGGGCATATCTTGAGTCAATCTCTTTAGAGATAGAAAAAGGGATTAAATAAGTGAGCTGAGAGGGAGACAGGGTAAAATAAATGCCAAGACACAAGGAGATCTCCAAGGGGCCAGGAAACAGGAAGACACAGGACTTTCTCTAGAGATGACAGAGAAAGAGAGTATTCTTCTCAAGCTGGCACCCTGAATTCAGGCTTCTAGCCTCATAAACTGTGAGAGAAAAATACCTGTTTGTTAAAGCCACCCGTTTGTGGTTTTCTCATATAGCAGCACTAGAGAACTAAGACAATGCCCATTAGAAATGAGACTGGAAACTCAGAGGCCGGTAGGTGGGGGACTGGAAGACAGGAGGGGCTTCAATTCAGATTATTGCTTCTCGGCCATGTGGGCACAGGAGGCCCCACCAACAATCTATCATGAGTCTACAAATCCCAAAGGTCACAAGGCTCCTGTTGCTCCTCAAGCCAGGGTCATGCCCAAAATGCAATGCCGTTTGCTCCATGGGTGTCTCTGTGAAGCAGAAGCTGCTCCCAAAGCATTTGAGGTGCAGAGCCCGGATGCCAGAGGTTTGTGTGGAGATCTGAAATGAATAAGCGCTCGGGGTTCGCCTCGCCCTTGGGAGGAGCCAGGAGCTGGGATCTCATGCCCCTGGGCGCTACCCTCTGCTTGCACTCCACAGTGAGTCCAGCTGGGAGCCCAGGGTGCTGAAGGGTGGCCGGTCCTGTGGGCTGGGAGCCCAGCACAACTTCATGAGCTCATAAACCTGGAAGAGGAGACAAAACTTCTGTCTAAGTTTAAGCTTAAGCAGCAGGTGAGTCCCATTTGCAGTTTCAAAACATGAGACCCCCCCCCAATCCCTCCCTTGCTCTAAACTCTCCCATGGCTCCCTATGGCTCTTGGAACAAAGTCCAAACCCTCTCTTGCCACCCTCCCAACATCATCTCTCTCCAACCCCTTCTAGCTAGTTCTACTACAGCCACAGTTGTCTCTGTCTCACTGTTACTTAAACACACCAAATGTGATCCACCCTAGGGCCTTGTACCTGCTATGCCCACCACTGGGAATGCCTTCTCCCAGATCTCCCCATGGGTGGCTCCTCCTTCTTGAAGTCCACCTCAGATGTTACTGCTCTGAGATGCCCCCTCTCATGTCACTCTCTGTCACTCCCCCCTGTTCATCCCCTTCAAGGCACTTATCGTCACTGGAAAGTTCTTTCAGACTCATGTTTGCTGACAAATTGAAATGGAATTGCATCACATTCATTGTCCAAAACGAACATTTTAAGATCTATCCTGAAGTACAGTGCTGTCAGCGATAGGATAATATCTATACGCCTACAAGGAAGACCAGTTAATACGACTATTATTCAAGTTTACATACAAACCACTAATGCCAAACATGAAGAAACTGAAGATTTTTACCAACTTCTGCAGTCTGAAATTGATCAAACATGCAATCAAGATGCACTGATGGTTACTGGTGATAGGAATGCGTAAGTTGGCAACAAAGAAGGATCAGTAGTTGGAAAATATGGCCTCGGTGACAGAAACAATGCTGGAGATCACATGATAGAATTTTGCAAGACCAACAACCTATTCATTGGCCATACTATTTTTTAACACCATAAACAGCAGCTATACACACATGGATCTTACCAGATGGAATATGCAGGAATCAAGTTGACTACATTTGTGGGAAGAAATGATGGAGAAACTCAGTATCACCAACTGGAAGAAGGCCCAGAGCTGACTGTGGAACAGACCATCAATTGTGCATATGCAAGTTCAAGTTGAAATGGAAGAAAATTAAAACAAGTTCAAGAGAGTCAAACTATGACCTTGAGTATATGCCATGTGGGTTTAGAGACCATCTCAATAATAGATTTGACACAATGAACCAAAGAACAGGCGAGCTGTGGGATGACATCAAGGACATCATATATGAAGAGAGCAAAAGGTCATTAAAAAGACAGGAAAGAAAGACAAGACCAATATGTATGCCAGAAGAGAGTCTGAAATTTGCACTTGAATGTAGAGCAGCTAAAGCAAATGGAAGAAATGATGAGGTGAGAGAGCTGGAAAGATTTCAAAGGAGAAGACTATGTAAAGTACTATAATGAAATGTGCAATGACCTGGAGTTAGAAAATCAAAAGGGAAGTACATGCATGGTATTTCTCAAGCTGAAAGAACTGAAGGAAAAATTCAAGCACCAAGTTGCAGTACTGAAGGATTCTGTGGGCAAAATATTGAATGATGCGGGAAGCATCGAAAGAAGATAGAAGGAATACACTGTACCAAAAGTAAGTGGTGAACATTCAACCATTTCAGGAGGTAGCATAAGATCAAGAACTGACAGTATTGAAGGAGGAAGTTCGAGCTGCACTGTAGGGACTGGCAAAAAATAAGACTCCAGGAATTGACAGAATACCAACAGAGATTGTTCCAACCAACAGAATACAATGCTGGTAGTGCTCACTTATCTATGCCAAGAAATTTGGAAGACAGCTACCTGCCCAAACAACTGGAAGACATCCATACTTGTGCCCATGTCAAACAAAGGTGATCCAACAGAATGAGGAAATTATTGAAAAATATCATTAATATCACACACAAGTAAAATTTTGTTGAAGATAATTTAAAAATAGTTGCAGCAGTTCATCAACAGTGAACTGCCAGAAATTCAAGCTGGATTCAGAAGAGGACATGGAATGAGAGATATCATTGCTGAAGTCAGATGGATCTAGGCTGAAAGCAGAAATACCAGACAGATATTTGCCTGAGTTTTATTGACTATGCAAAGGCATTCAAATTATGGACAGCACTGTGAAGAATGGGAATTCCAGAACACTTAATTGTGCTCATGAGGAACCTGTACATAGACCAGGAGGCTGTCGTGCAAACAGAACAAGGGGATACTGCATGGTTTAAAATCAGGAAGGAAGTATGTCAGTGTTGTATCCTTTTACTATATTTATTCAATCTGTTTGCTAAGCAAATAATCCGAGATGCTGGACCATATGGAGAATGTGGAATCAGGTTTCGGCGAAGAGTCATTAACAACTTACGATATGCAGATGACACAACCTTGCTTGCTGAAAGTGAAGATGGCTTGAAGCACTTACTGATGAAGATTAGACTGCCATCTTCGGTATGGATTACACCTCAACATAAAGAAAACAAAAATCCTCATAACTGGACCAATAAGCAGTATCACAATAAGTGGAGAAAAGATTGAAGTTGACAGGGATTTCATTTTACTTGGATCCACAATCAACACCCATGAAAGCAGCAGTCGAGAAGTCAAATGTCATACTGCATTGGGCAAAAGTGCTACAAAAGACCTCTTTCAAGTGTTAAGAAGCAAAGAAGACTAAAGTGCACCTAACTGAAGCCGTGGTATTTTCAATCCGTTCATATGCAAAGGAAAGCTGAAGAAGAGTTGACACCTCTGAATTGTGGTGTGGCAAAGAATACTGAAAATACCATGGACTGCCAGAACAGTGTTTCACTACTATTCATACTAGTGAAGGGAGTGCGTCAGGGTTGTATCCTTTCACCATACTTATTCAATCTGTACGCTGAACAAATAATCCAAGAAGCTGGACTATATGAAGAAGAACATGGCATCAGGATTGGAGGAAGGCTCATTAACTACCTGTGTTGTGCAGACAACACAATTTTGCTCACTGAAAGTGAGGATGACTTGAAACACTTACTGATGAAGATTGAAGACTGCAGTCTGGATTACATCTCAATTAAAAAAAAAATCATCACAATGGGACCAATAAGCAGCATCATGATAAATGGAGAAAAGATTGAAGTTGTAAAAGACTTCGTACTACTTCATTCTACAATCAACACCAGTGGAAGCAGCAGTCAGAATATCAGATGTCATATAGCATTGGGCAAATCTGCTGCAAAGGACCTCTTTCAAGTGCTGAAGAGCAAAGATGTTTCCTTGAAGACTAAGGTGCACTTGACACAAGCCATGGTATTTTCAATCGCTTCATATGCATGTGAGAGCTGGACAATGAAAAAGGAAGACCAAAGAAGAGTCGATGCTTTTGAGTTGTGGTGCTGGTGAAGAATGCTGAAAGTGCTATGGACTGCTAAAATAACTAACAAATCTGTCCTGGAAGAAGTGCAGCCGGAATGCTCCTTGGAAACAAGAATGGCCAAACTTTGTCTCACCTACTTTGGTCATGTTGTCAGAAGGGACCATTCCTTGGAGAAGGATATCATCCTTGGCAAAGTGGAGGGACAACAGAAAAGGGGAAGGTCCTCAATGAGATGGATTGACACAGTGGCTGCAATAATGGGCTCAGGTGTAGCAAGGACCGTGGGGCTGGCACAGGACCAGGCAGTGTTTCGTTCTGCTGTGCATGAGGTTGCTATGAGTCAGAGATGACACAGAACCTAAGAGCAACAACAACAGAAGAATGAACAAATCTATCCTGGACGAAGTACAGCTCAAATATTCCTTGGAAATGAGAATGGCCAGACTTTGTCTCCCCTACTTTGGTCATGTTGTCAGAAGGTGCTGGCCGTTCCCTGGAAAGGGATACCGTGCTTCGTAAAGTAGAAGGTCAGTGAAAAAGGAGAAGACACTCAAGGAGATGGATCAACACAGTGGCTGCAAAAGTGGGCTCAAGCGCAGCAAGATTTGTGAGGCCGGTGCATGACTAGGCGGTGTTTCGTTCTGTGTACACAGGGGTCGCTATGAGTCAGAGCTGACTCGAAGGTATCTGACAAAAACCAGCTGAGCAATTACTCCATGAAGACACACTCTAAAACAATCAAACTTGGGAGATCAGAATGGCACAGCTCGGGAGGCAGGAATGCAGAGTTAAGAAGGACGTCAATCCAACTGGTAGCAACCCCTCCTTGGGTTTCCGAGGTGGTATCGCTATGAAGGTTGAGTTGATTGCCCAACCTTCCTTTTGAGGAGTGGCTGGTGGGTTTGAACCGCCAGCCTTGTGGTTAGCAGTCAAATTCCTTAGGCATTACACCACCAGAGCGCCCAAGATGGACACCAGGAAAGGGCAACCACAGGGAGGAAGTAGGAAGAAAGCTGTTACATTGTAATCAGTGTCATGAAACAAAATGTATATGAACTGTTGGATAGAAAAGGAAATCTGCTCTGTAAAATTTCACCCAAATCACAATAAAAAAGGAAAATGTTTGAGACTTGCTGTACAGTGATCCAGCAGCAAAGTAGAGGTTAGAAACCCCTTCTGCCTCATGACCAAGAGACAGAGGGTGGAGAGGCCCAGGGGACCAGGTGGCTTGCCAGAGACCCCCTGAGTCAATCTGGGAAATGGGCAGCCTCTGTGGTGCTCAGAAGCTCTGGTGGCCTAGTGCCTAAGGCATCTGACTGCTAACCAGAAGGCTGGCGATTCAAACCCACCAGCCACTCCTCAGAGGGAAGATTGGGCAATCTACTTCCCTAAATGACACCGCCTTAGAAACCCAAGGAGGGGTCACTATGAGTCAGATCTGACACGATGGCAGTGAGTTTGGTTTTTGCTTTTCTGCGGTGCTCACCTGGGCGGGGCAGCCCGCGGGCGCAGGCAGCCTTTGGCCTGCGGCCAGCAGCTCCAAGAGGCAGCAGAGGACCGGGGCCTCTCTTTCATACCCCATCATCCGCAGGAATTCCTGGAGGGGGAAAGACTGCCCTGGTGGGACCGCGTCGCAGTGTGGTGTGTGATGGCGTAGGAGGGGGCCGCGCGTGGAAGGAGGGAGGTCAGCCACCGTGAGAGGATTTCTCCCCACTGGGGCCTAAAATGCTGAGCAGAGGAACGCTAGGCGCCACAGAGTGGGGAGATTAGCGAGAAGGACCAGGGGGAGGAGGCCGGGCCGGAGCCACTCACGGCCGAGGGGCTGCAGCTCCGCTCGCTGTAAGTGAAGAGCTCGTACAGGAGGACCCCAAAGCTCCAGATGTCCGACTGACGCGAGAAGACGTTGTCAGAGAGGGACTCCGGGGCGTACCTGAGGGGACAGAGTGGCCTTGTCGTCCAAAGGCGGGGCAGAGGGATGGAAAGGGGGCAGCGTTGGCTTGGGGGAGCTGGTCAGTGAGGGGGAGCTGTCTCGGTTTCTCGGGCTGTGAGATGCGGGATTCTGAAGCCTGCGAGGGAGAACGGGGCGGGGCCCGGATTGTGGAGAAGGTGAAGTTGAATGGGCTGAGCCAGGACTGTGGGGGGCGCGGCCAGGGCTGTGGGTGGAACTCTCTGATAAGGAATTCAAACAAATTGTATTTAGGTAAATTCAAGGAATTGAGAGACAGATCAAGAAAAACACTGAAAAAATTAAGGAAAACACAGACAAAACCCAGGAACAATTTGAGAAGACAATACAAGAACAAAACGACAAAATAGTGAAAAATTAGAAATGATACAAAATCTACAGATAGAAATGCAGAAAATGAATACTAAAATTTCAGAAATAGATAACCCATTCAAGGTGAGTGGGGAGTAAGGTGGGACAGTCAAGGGAGAGGGGTGGGGTTTGGAGAGGAAGGGGTGGGGCCAGGACTGAGGAGAGCAGAGGGTAGGCAAGACTGTGGGGGAAAGACAGGGACCAGGGTTGTAGGGGTAAGGGGCGGGACAGGACTGGAGAGGTGTGGGGTGACCAAAGGTTGTCCAAAGGTGTGGGGTGACCAAAGGTGACCAAAGGTTGGGGGCGTGGCCATGGCTGTAGGCGGGAAGGGCGCACTGGTGCCAAGCCAGGGCTGAGGGTGGGACTTAGGGAGGATGGGTGGGGCCAGGGCAGCGCAGAGGTGAGCTTTGGCCTAGTAGGGTTCCCACCAGAAGATGGGGCTCTGGCCTGGCTCTCGGACAACGTAATACTCCTTGTCCAGTGGCAATAGCTTGGCGAGGCCAAAGTCGGCGATCTTGACGTGCGCTTCGCTCTCCACCAGTATGTTGCGAGCGGCCAAGTCGCGGTGCACGCAGCGTCTGGAGCCCAGGTACTCCATGCCCTAAGGGCGGTGGGATGGGGAACAAGAGGACGCAACCCAGGATGACCCGGCCGGGACTCGAGCCTGACCTGGAATCTGACCCCAACTCCCACCCAGTCTCAACCCAGAGGCCAGCCCTGACCCATCAACTCCCTTCCTTATCCTGAGCCCTACTTCCGATTTGAACCCTCAAACCCGACCTTGAACCCCAAACTTCCACCCTCAGCCTTAGCCACATGCCCACGCAGACCGAGCCGGCTGAGCATTCGCAGGTCCTGGGCATCCCCCTCACAGCACCTTGCAGATCTGCGAGGCGTACAGGAGCAGACGACTGGCGTCCAGGCGGGCGCGGTACCTCTGCAGGTAGTCGCGCAGACAGCCACTGGGCAGGTACTCCATGACCAGGCGCAGGCTTTGGCGGCCTGGGGGCGGGACAAGGTCACCGCGGGCCCATCTAGGTCGCCTACCCCTCCATAAAACACCCTTCACAGTGGGACCTGGGTTCCCTCCCGGCCTCAGTGTTGCTGTCTGTCAAATGGGGATGACGACAATGACATTTATCACTACTATCTCTCGAGCACCTTCAACAACATACATTGATTCGTTTAATCCTCATGAGGCCCATTTTTCAGGTGGGGAAACGACCTCAGAGAGGTTAAATAGTCCGCCCAAGCAGTAAGGGGTGGAGGCGGCATTTGAATTGACGCCGCTGATGGTTTCTCAGTCCAGCCAGGACTTAGGATTCGAAGGGGACCCCGGGCATCAGTTTGCCCATCCGGCACATGGCTCACCGGGGCCGTAGCTGACACCACGGTACTTGACAATGAAGTCGCTGTGGAGCGCTTTGAGAATCTGGATCTCCCGCTGGAAGTCCCTCTGCTGGTCTGGCCCGCTGTGCTGCAGCTGCTTCACGGCCACCAGGGCGCCCGTGTTGTCGCCCAGCGGGTCATAGCGGCACAGCTCCACGCTGCCGAAGTTGCCCTGGGAAAAGACGCGACTGGTGCGCTCACTCTGGGAACCCTGCCACGCCCACCCTGGAGAGATCCTGCTTGCCCGGGGAAGGCCCCGCCCACACTTCCTGGCACCGCCCCTCACCTTGCCCAGCTGAGAGATATACTTGAGGTGCCTCTCCTCGAAGATTGTGGGGTCCTGGCAGACATACAGCTGAGCGCTATTCCACAGCCCATCTCGGGGTGCCAGAGCACTAGGCGTTGGGTCCGAGAGGAGCTCGTAATCTAGGGGCACAGCTGGGTGGTAAGCGGCGCATTCCACTCCAAGCTGAGCTCTTGACCTAACCTGCTGTGTGACCTCCATGTGCACGCTAGCCCTCCCTGTGCATTATGGCAGAGCCAGTGCAAGCCAAAGGGCACCTTTGTGCAAACTGCTTGTGCAGTGCACATCTTGTGCAACTGTTCATGCCTGTGGAGCTGGAGAAGCACAGTGAGACTCCATTTGCCGGCCTTCACTGTGGTGAAGCATAGTCACGTGACTAAGCTCAGGCTGATGGGTGCCCACCCTGGCCCTGCCCTGGCTTCCCTATGGGCACCTGAGGTGATGAGGCTGTTGAGGTCTCGGATGACAGCACGGAAGGAAGGCCTGTGGCTGGGCTCATAGGCCATGCATTGCTGGATCAGCAGGGCCAGCTCCATCCACTTCGGGGCTGGCAGCTGCTGCTGGTCCTCGTAGAACTGGAGTTTCTGGGGACAGAAGGTGGAGCTGGTCATACTTGAGACCAGACTTGTCCAACCTGCCCAAGAAGGACCTCAATCTACCCTTTTGTCAAATGGGCTCTCAAGACCAGTGCTGGGGGCAGGCCTCTGACCTGGGCAGGATCCAGGGCACTGATGGGCATGGGGACCCCGCTGAACACCTCCCAGACTGTGGCACCGAAGCCCCACTTATCAGCCTCCAAGCCGAGTGTCTGGGCCTCCTGGAGACATTCGGGGGCCACCCAGGGGATCCTGTCGGTGAGCACTGGGGGTAGAAGGGGTGGTCAGGTCTCCACCTCCTCAACCCCACCATGGCTTGCCCTCTGCTGGCCCCTCGCACTTACTCTCCAGGCTTAGCACTGTGGGGCTGACCCCAGGGTCACTCAGCTTGATGAAGGGTGGGCTTCCCTCAGCCCCCTCCCGAGCCAGGAGCACCTTCCGAGCTGAGACATTGCCATGAGGAAGGCCTTTGTCCTCCTAAGTGGACCAAACATAGGAGAGTGCCAGGGAGGGTTTTATGAATTAATATTCTGGCTGGCAAACTCCTACATATCCTTCAAAGCCCACTTGGTACTGCTCTGACCATGCTTCAGCAAGCTCCTGAGACCCCTAACATCCTATCTGGTCCCCTGTAGTCCAGCCTCCATTCTGACCTGATTATGTCCATCCCCTTCTCAGGCACCGCCCTGTGCCCCCACCCACTGCCTTCAGGACAAAGTCAAAGCTCCTCAGCCTGACACTTAGGCCCTTCAGATTCAGCCTTTGTCTACTTCCCATGAGCTTCTCTCTCTTCCACATCCCCTGACCTGGTCTCCTGCCAGATGAACTGCTTGATGGGTCCCAGGACGTGAACCACATCTTTTAGCCTGCAGGAATTTGCCCACTTTGTTCTCTCAGCCTGAAATATGCACTTTTCTCCCCTTGGTGAACTCTCACTCAGTCTTCAAGGTTCCAACTCCAATATCCCTTCTGCTACGCCCTAACTTTAGGCTCCAGGGATGACCAGTTGTTCCCTTCTTGTGCTCTCACAAGCCTATATATATGCTGTTCCCTCACTCTAAAATGCTTTCCCCTGGCATCCTTATTAAACTCCTATCTATACTTCACAGCCCATCCCCAATGCCCCCTCCACCTAGAAGAAGGCTTCTCTGTGAATGGAGGGTAGAGCAGGCAGAGGGGCACTCACCAGGTAGTTGAGAGCATAAGCTAGCTGCTTGACTACTTGTAGCTTCCAGCTGGCTGGCACCAGGTGGCCACGTTTGCGCAGGTATGTGTCTAGGGCCCCCAAGTGCACAAACTCCTGCACCATGATGCCTGGTGGTGGCAGGGAGAGTGGGGATGGAAGGGTGAACTGGACTTGTGTTCAGCACATTCTGTCCCCACTCCAAGTTCAGGGGTCTCTCGAACTTCAGCTCTGACTCTTCCCACCAGCATCTCATCCTAATCCCTATCTCCTTAACTGCCTTCCATCTCTCTGAAATAATTGCCTAAAATCCTTGCAAGATGCCAAGCTGTCTCTCCACCTCATTTCCAGTTCTCTTCATGGGCTTGACCTTTTTCCCAGAATGCCCCTCTTCCTCCCCTTCCCTAAGCCCTACTATCCTTGCCTTCTCATCTTAGAACCCTCCTAGCTCCTAACCAACTCCTGATATCTTTCAAAGCCCACTTGTTCCTGCTCAGACCATGCCCCAGCATCCTCCCTAGACTCACGGCATCCTATTTGGCCCTCTGTAGTCCAACCCCTATGCTGACCTTGAAGATGAGTCACCTTCTCCTCACCTCTGGAGACTCCCCGAGCCGCCCCAACAGCCACTAATCATTTATCACACCCCTCAGTCTGTCACATCCACACTGACGTGCCCTCCTTCCTTTCTCTTCTTGGTGAATCCCTCCTCAGTCTGCAAGGCCTCAGCTCCAATACCTCCTCTCCCTGACTTTGTATCACACCCCAAGTTCCTGGCACATCATGGGCTCTGGTTAAATAGCAGCTGAACTGAACTGACGAGGGAACCGAGACTGGGAGAATAGGTGCACAGCAAAGGTGAGATTGGAACTCAGGTCTGTCTGACCTGAGACACCTCTGGGGGTGGGGATTGGTGGGAGCTGGAGCCACCGCCCAAGGAGGAATGAGTACAAGATGATACCACCCAGGGCAGGCTCAGTGTATTGCTGGTGCTGCTATTTATGGGTTCAGTGAGGGGAGGGGCTGTGAGGAGAAGGGAGGAGGAGCCCTAGGCTTGAGTGGGGCTGGGAGGTGGGGGATGGGGATGTCTCTCACTGTCTCCAGCCATGCACACGCCATAGAGCAACACGAGATGCTGATAAGACACCTGGCTCATCAAGCTTGCTGCTTCCAGAAATGACTGGTGGGGGAGGGGAGAAAAAGACAAGTGGGTCTCTCCACCGCAGAACTCAATATGGCTGCTTACAAACCTGCCTCAGGAGAAGACCTAGCCACAGGTCAGTCTCAGACAATCTAGTGCCCACAACACAATGTCTCATGATTTGCTGTTAGGGGATGGAAGTTCCCCCTATCGTCTACCTTGAGTGTCTTGCACAGAAGTGGGAGATTCAGGATCCAGCCCCTGCAGATGTCTCCACCCACATTTCCCCCTTCCTTTCCCTGTCTAGCTCCTCCCCAGCCCACTGGGCCTCCTTGCTGTTCCTTAAAATGTCAGGCTCAGTCCTGCCCCAGGGCCTTTGCACTCACTGGTTGTTCCGCTCCCTGGTGAAATCTGCTTCTAAATTCCACAATTCTTCCATGTTGCCTGGTTTGGAAATGCCCTGACTACACGTCTGTTGTTTTAAGCATCTGTGGCTTGACCTGTCCCTCTCCCTCACCTCCATGCAGTTCTTGTGCTTGGCATCTAACACCTTGAGCAGCACCTCGGTCTCCCAGACTTCCCCGTCCACAGCCTCATGACGATGACCCCGATATATCTTGGTGAAGGACCCATGGCCCAGGTTCTCATGCTGGAGGAAGAAGGGCAGCAGGAAGGGCCCCTGAGGGGATGCCCATGGGATCTCAGTCCCCAGCCCAAGCAAGGCACAGGCATTGGTCTCATTTTATAGATGGGAAACTGAAGCACAGGAAGGTTACATCACATGCCTGAGGCCACACAGCAGAGATGGGTGCAGACCTAGTCTCAGGACCCAGACTATGAGGTTGCCCCTCAACCCCCACCTCACTGGACCCCTTACCCACTCCAGGCTGTCAGAGGGGATCTTGTGAAATGTCATCTGGCTCAGCTGGCACTGGGATTGGGGCTGAATGGGGCCCGATGTGGGCAGGCTGCAGCCTCCCCGGACCACAATCAAGTTGGACTTTTCTATGAGGATGGGGGGGGGGGTGAGAGGGAGAACCAGAGGTCAGAGGTGAAAGATCCCCAAGGGATACTGCCTGCATTAGTTTGGGGGTCTCTCCCAGAAGCTGCCTCTGAGCTGAGGACTCGGGGGCACATGATTTATTTGAAAGTGACCCTAAAAATCCTGATGGGGATTGGGGAAGTGAGACAGGAGAACAGGAGCTCTGAAGGGGGTGACAATGAGCAGATGACAGCTCTGTGACAACCAGGACTCAGTTCTGAGAGCCTCTGGAGAGCTCACATCTCAGTGCTGTCCTATGTGAGGAGTGTGAAATTCACCCAGAAGAAGAGGCAAGAGATAGAGACTAAACTTTAGTAAAATCATTAGGATCCAGCTGCACTTGGATCCAGCTGTGCCTGAAGGAAGCCCTCCTTCCCATGTGCCAATAAATTTTTTTTTTCTAAACTACCTTGACCTGCAATTTCTGCTACTTGCCACATACTGACACATAGCTGTGTCAGACATAGAAAGTCCCAGATTGCTCAGCTTCGGGGAAAGAGTGGGCTCACCTTTAGGTCTGGGGGGGCAGCAGGAGGTGAGGTTCAGTGCAACCCCATCCACATGCAGCCCACCATCCCTATAGGCTGCCAGGAGCTCTCGAAGGCTGCTGTGGGGCCGGCCAAGACCAGCCAGGGAGAAGGCTCCAGTGGGGTCTCTTCGGATGAGGCAGCCCTTGTAATCAGCACCAAGGGGGCTCTGCAGAGGGGAGTGGTCCCTGAATGAGAATGGGCATCACCCTCCCCCTGACTCCCACTTCCTCAAGACCAGAAAATCATTTCCATCTCCAGGCCTTTGCATAAGCTGTTCCCTCCCCTTCTTCACTGGGCAATTATGGACTCATCTTTCAGGTCCCAGCTCAAAGGTCACTTCCTCCAGGAAACCTTCTCTGCTCTCCTGACCCCTAGAGGGTGGACCTTACTTTGAGTCAAGCGCTGTCCAGGGTGGGAAAGGGAGACCAGAGGGCCGAACCTGGACGCAGACAGTGAGGAGGAAGCTGTCGAAGTCCTGGGGGCTGCGGCGGAGAATATAGGAGCCAGGGAGTGAGCCCCAGGTCTTGAGCTTGTTAATGGCAAAATCGAGTCTGTGAGGACAGGTGGATAGGAGGTGGAAGGGGGGTGGGGGTGGATCAAAGACAGAGGCAGAGAAAGAAAGCCAGATTTGGGTTCAAATTCAGACCACTACCGGGTCCTGGGAGCCTGGTTAGCTAACAGCCCCTCCCTTATCTATAAATGAGACAAAAAAATCTTGGCCTCTGCCTGGGGATTGAGAAGTGGGGACCCAGGTGAAGCCAGGTGCTCTCTGTGTCCCCGGAAATTACTCTGGGACCCAGGGGTCAAGGAAGGGAGCAAGGAGTGAGAGATCCCAATGTCACGGAGCGCCGACCTCTCGTCCAGGCCTCCTGGGGTCAAGCCCCGGAGGTGAAGACAAACGCACTGAGAAGTGGAGTGACTCGTGGTGACAGAGACAGGGACCTGGGTGGGTCTGGCCGCGGAGGGGAGCTGGACCCTTACGTGATGGGGCCGTGGCACTGCTCGGCCACCTCCTCCAGCAGCCGCGGGGGCGCCACTTCCTTGCAGAAGAAGTGTCGGGAGTCGGTGGTCAGCCGGAAGTAGCCGTCCACCAGCGCCACAAAGGACAACGCCGCAGGCAGTCCCAGGAACTCAGCCTCCTACGCGGGACCCGCATCAGAGTTTACCCGGGCTGGAGGAGGTTTACCCGCGGTCTTGGCCCCCTGCGGAAGGTGGGAGGGAAGGGGGCCCTGCACCCACCAGGATTTGGTTGTCCGTCCTGGTGACGGTGACCAGGCGGTGCTCCCCGGCCGGGCCCACGCGCGGGGCCTGCTTGATGCTGATGTCTACGATTTCGGGAAAGTCGCAGAAGGGCTGGAGGGTCTGGTGGGGAGGAAGAGGGCTGAGCCCCCAGGCTGGACCCCACCTCCCCCTTTCCAAGAGCCCTACCCTTCTCAGCCCCGCCGATTTCCACCTTGACCCTTCCGTATCTCCACCCTGTGGCCCCGCCCCTCTCCCACCTCACTTCTCCCTCAAATCTCCCAGCCAAGTCCCAGGTCCTTCTCTCGGCCTGTGCCCTCCCTAAATCTCTCTCCCATCTAAACTCCACCTCCTCACTAGTCCCACTTTGAATCCTGGACTCGGGAGATGCTCCTCTGAGCCCCTCCCGCGTCCCAATCCCACTCATCCAGGCCTCTCTCCCTGAAATCAGTTTCCTTTCTAAGCCCCGCCCCTCGGAGAGGCTCCCAGAGCCCCTCCCTGGTTTAGTTGCACCTCATATACCGGTTATTAGTTGTTGTTAGTTGTTACAACAAAAGGAAACACTACCTGGTCCTATGCCATTCTCACAATGGTTGCTATTCTTGACCCCTGTGGTGTAGTAAATTACTTAGTGTGGCTTTTCTACCCATTGTTGTTGTTGTTATGTGCGGTCTGGTCCCGTGGTGACCCCTCCTTGGGTTTCCCAGGCAGTATCACTACGGAAGTAGATTGCCCTATCTTCCTTCTGAGGAGTGGCTGGTGGGTTTGAACCACCAGCCTTCTGGTTAGCAGTCAAGTGCCTTAGGCACTATGCTACCAGAGCTCCCTTTCTACCCATAAGTCTTTGTAAACTCCAAGGTGGAATTTTTTATGAGCAACTGAGGAGCTCCTGATTGGTGAAGTTGTCCACCTGGAGTATTTCTGTTGGGAGTGGCACAAAACAATGTTCTGGGAGGTGCCCACTCTCCCTCAGGTGCTTAGAGTTCTGATGCTGTGATTGGCTAGTCTGACCACCCTGCAGGGGCTCAAAAGGAGACCTCCTAGAGGCAGAACTCTCTCTGACTGCTGGTTGAGGAAGATGTGCTGCTGAAAGAGACACGCACTCCTGAGACACACTGTTGCTGGGAAAGAGACAAAAGCGACACCGAGGGACCAGTAAGGCTGGGAAAGAGACTGCGAGAGACTGTTGGCTGAGGGATGGTGGGGTGGGAGAAAGACTGAGCATTTTTCCTGAATGTGAATTGTAGCCTGTGGTGCTTCCCTAATAAACCCCATAATCTGTGAGCTCTGTGTGGCCACTGCAGCGAATTATCGAACCCAGGAGAGAGGTTGTGGTGCTTTGGGAGGAACAGTTGGTGAAAGGGCTGGAGGGAGGCAGCATGTCTGGCCTTGCAGTAATAGGCCTTGGGTTACTGCTGGTAATCCTATCTTCCTCTTGTGGGGTTAGAGGAGGTCAGAACATGTGGCCTCCTTGTCGTTTTTGCAACCCCATTCTTGCAACCACTGTGTCAATCCATCTTGTTGAGAGTCTTACCCCCTATTTTGCCAACCCTCTACTTCAATCCTCTGCCATCAGTCTAGTCCAACTGATAGCGACAGAATAGAACCCATAGGGCTTCTAAGGCTGTCAATCTTTACAAAGCCTACTGCCTCGTCTTTCTGAATGTGTTAACCCCTATGCCACCAGAGCCCTCTACTTTACCAAGCATGATATCCTTCTCCAGGAACTGGTTCCTCCTCCATTTACAGGTATATGTCCCTTAATAGCCCAGCCACCACTCGGCTGTCAGTTTGTCTACTGTGGGCTTGCATATCACTGTCATGCTGGAAGCTATGTCACTAGTATTTCAAACCCACAAGGCCACGCATGGTGGACAGATTTCAGCAGAGCTTCCAGGTTAAGATAGACTAGGAAGAAAGACATAGCTAGGTGCACATTCTGGGGAAAATAATAATAATAATAATAAAGCCACTGCAAACCTTTTGAATAGCAGGCAAACATTGCTATAGTGCCGGCAGATGAGCCCCTCGGGTCAGACTCAAACTGCCTCCTTAAAGTAGAAGCAACCTTAATGACGTGGATGGAGTAAAGCTTTCAGGACCTCCATTTGCTGGGAGCATGACTCAAAATGAGAAGAAACAGCTGCAAACATCCATTAATATTCAGAACATGGAATGTACGAAGTATGAATCTAGGAAAATTGGAAGTTGTCAAAAACGAAATGGAATGGATAAAGATAGATATCCTAGGCATGTTGTTGTCATTATGTGCTGTCAAGTCGGACCCGACTCATAGTGACCCCTCCTTGGGTTTCCGAGGTAGTATCACTATGGAAGTAGATTGCCCCATCTCCCTTCCAAGGAGTGGCTGGTGGATTTGAATCTCCAGCCTTCTGATTAGCAGGCAAGTGCCTTAGGCACGCTACCAGAGCTCCTATCCTAGGCATAAGTGAGCTGAAATGGACTGGTTGTGGCCATTTTGAATCATACAATCACATAGTCTATTATGCCAGCAATGACAAATTGAGGAGGAATGGCATCATATTCATCATCAAAAAGAACATTTCAAGATCTATCCTTAAGTACAATGCTGTCAGTGACAGGATAATACCTATACGACTACAAGGAAGATGAGTTAATATTAACTATTATTCAAATTTACTCACCAATTACCAAAGTGAAAGATGAAGAAATTGAAGATTTTCACCAGTTTCTACAGTCTGAAAATTGACCAAGCATGCAACTAAGATATATTGATAACTAAGATATGTTGATTGGAGTGCAAAATTGGAAACAAAGAATAATAATTGGTAGTTGGAAAATAGGGAGCTCTGGTGGCATAGTGCCTAAGGCACTTGACTGCTAACCAGAAGGCTGGCGGTTCAAACCCACCAGCCACTCCTTGGAAGGAAGATGAGGCAATCTACTTCCATAGTGATACTGCCTCAGAAACCCAAGGAGGGGTCGCTATGAATCGGGCCAACTCGACTGCACATAACAACATAACAACAACAGTTGGAAAATATGGCCTTGGTGATAGAAATGACACCAGAGGTAGTATGATAGAATTTTGCAAGACCAATGATTTATTCATTGCAGATACCTTTTTTTAAATAACATAAACAGTGGCTATATATGTGGACCTTGCCAGATGGAATACACAGGAGTCAGATTGACTACATCTGTGGAAAGAGAGGATGGAGAAGCTCAATATCATCAGTCAGAACAAGGCCAAATGCTGACTGTGGAACAGACCATCAATTGCTCATGTGCAAGTTCAAGTTGAAGCTGAAGAAAATTAAACAAATTCATGAGAACCAAAATATGACCCTGATTATATCCTACCTGGATTTAGAAACCATCTGAAGAATAAAGTTGACACATTGAACACCAATGACTGAAAACCAGACGAGTTGTGAGATGACATTCAAGAACGTCACACATGAAGAGAGCAAAAGTCATTAAAAACACACAAAAGGAAGAAAGGATCAAAATGGATGTCAGAAGAGACTCTGAAACTTGCTCTCAAAAGGAGAGTAGCTAAAGCAAATGGAAGAAATGAGGTTAAAGAGCTGAACGGAAGCCTTCAAAGGGCCACTCAAGAAGACAAAGTATTATAATGAAATGTGCAAGACTTGGAGATGGAACATCAAAGGGGAGAAATGCAGGGCATTTCTCTAGCTGAAAGAACGTAAGAAAAAATTCAAGCCTCAAACTGCAATACTGAGGGATTCTAATGGCAAAATATTGAATGAAGCAAGAAGCATCAAAAGAAGATGGAAGGAATACACAGAGTCACTGTACCAAAAAGAATGGTGGATACTCAGGTATTTCAGGAGGTAGCATATGATGAAGAACCGTGGTACTGAAGGAAGAAGTTAAGATGCACTGAAGGAACTGTGAAAAACAAACAAGCCTCCAGGAATTGACAGAATACCCAGGGAGATCTTTCAACAAAGGGATGCAGCACAGGAGGCACTCACTAATTTATGCCAAGAAGTTAGCTACCAGGCCAACTGACTGGAAGAGATCCATAGTTGGTGCTCATTCCACAGAAAGACGATTCAACAGAATGTGGAAATTATTGAACCATATCATTAATATCACATGCAAATCAAATTTTGCTGAAGGTAATTAAACAATGGTTGCTTCAATACATAGACAGGCACCTGCCAAAAATTTGAGCTGGATTCAGAAGAGAGTGTGGAATGAGGGATATTACTGCTGATGTCAGATGGATCTTGGCTGAAAGCAAAGAATACCAGAAAGATGTTTACCAGTATCTTATTGACTATGCAAAGGCATTCAACTGTGTGGATCATAACAAAATTATGGACAACACTGCAAAGAATGGGGATTCCAGAACACTTAATTGTGTTTATAAGGAACCTGTACATAGACCAAGAGGCAGTCATTTGAACAGAACAAGGTTTAAAATCAGGAAGGGTGTCCGCCATACTTATTCAATCTGTATGCTGAGTAAAAAAAAAAAAAAATTAGAGAAACCAAATTATATGAAGCATGCAGCATCAGGATCAGAGGAAGACTCATTAACAGCCTGCGACATGCACATGACACAACCTTGTTTGCAGAAAGTGAAGATGACTTGAAGCACTTATTGATGAAGATCAAAGACAACAGTCTTCAGTATGGATTACACCTCAACATAAAGAAATTAAAATCCTCTCAACCCAATAAGCAACATCATGATAAATGGAGAAAATGTTGAAGTTGTCAATGATTTCATTTTATTTTGATCCACAATCAACACCCATGGAAGCAGCAGTCATTGCTCTGGTGGTGCAGTGCCTAAGGCATTTGACTGCTAACCAGAAGGCTGGCGGTTCAAATCCATCAGACACTGCTCAGAAGGAAGAATGGGCAATCTACTTCAATAGAGAGACCACCTGGGAAACCCACGGAGGGGTCATTATGAGTCCAAATCGACTCCATGGCAGAGAGGTTTATTTATTTATTTGTATTACATTGGACAAATCCACTGCAAAAGACCTCGTTAAAGTGTTGAAAAGCAAAGGTGTCACTTTGAAGACTAAGATGTTCCTGACCCAAGCCATGGTCCAATAGACCATGTGAGAGCTGGACGGACAATGAACAAGGAAGACCACAGATGAACTGATGCGTTTGAATTGTGATCCTGGTGGAGACTCTTGAATGTACTATGTATGGACTGCTAGAATGAACAAATCTGCGTTGGAGGAAGTACAGCCAGAATGTTCTATAGACGTGAGAACGGCCAGAGGTCGTCAGTCTCACGTGTTTTGGTCAGGTTGCCAGAAGGGACCAGTCCCTTCGTAAAGTAGAGGGTCAGCAAAAAATGCAAAGACCCTCCCGATATGAATTGACACAGCGTCTGCAGCGATGGGCTCAAGCAAAGCAACCATTGTGAGAATGGCGCAGGACCGGGGGTAGCCTTTCGTCCTGTGGAGTCTTTTCCACCTCACCTACCGCACCTAACATTAATCCAGCCGCGAGGCCACCGCGTTTTAGTACTCACTTCTCTCTTCAGCTGCCCTCCCTAGCTCCGCCCCCCCCCCCCCCCCCGCAAGGCCCCTCTGACCAATCCTGTCCCCTAGCTCTTAGCCCTTCGGTTTTTTTCAGACCAACCCTCTGGTTTAGCCTCGCCCCCTCACGCCCCGCCCCCTTCCAGTCCCTCCTGTCCCTGAATTCTTTTTCATTCGCTCTCCACCTAGCCCCCTGGTCTTGTTTAGCCTCCATTAGTCTCGCCCGGCACCTCGCCCTACCTCGTGTTCTCCAGAGCTCCAAGAGATGCCGCTGCCTCCGGCCACACTGAGCAACCCCTGCCGGTCCTGGCTGCCGGCGGCCCCTGGGAGGCCCACACGGAAGGTCTCGGTGGCCCCAGCCGGGTCCAGCCGCTCCAAGTCCATGATGTACTTGACCATGAGAGATTGCCGGTCGGCTTGGCAGGCAGCCACGCGGCGCAGGGCCAGGCGCACGGTCCTCCGGATGCGCTTTCGCGTCACGAAGCTCAGGCCCTGGATGAAGTTGCGCAGGCTGGGCGGCAAGCAGGTCTTGTAGCTGCGGTGGGAAGGAGCCTCGGCGTGTGTAAGAAGTCCCCTTAGGGACGGAGGGAACACTCAAACCCAGGCCTCATGGCTCAGGGACCCCAGTGGGGGTACTCAGTGAGAGAACACAGGGACCTAAAACGACACACTCAGGGTTAGGCCTGGGAATAGGGCTTCAGGGTGGGGCGGGACCACTGGGGTGGCAGAAACATGTGCCGAGCTTTTCACCGCAGGAGGCCGGGCTTCAGTCCAGCCTGCACCTCCGTGGGCGTGAGGGCCGGCCTTGGGTCTGGCTGATAGAAGTCCAAGCTTGTGGGTGCCTGGGGTCTCACCTGACTGTCTTCAGTAGCTCCTCTGGCCGCTGGGCCTGCTCCCGTGCCATGCGTGTCATGTCCAGTACAGCCAGGCTTAGGCATTCACCTTGCTCCTTGAGGCCGAGACCCACTGGCAGGTGCCCGCTCACCAGGTCACTGCGGTGCTGCATGGCAGCCACAGGGAGGGTCAGTCTAGGCCACCCAACCATGAGCCCTGGTATGGCCCTACTGGTCCCCAGTTCAGGGCTGACCCCAAACCTTGGGTTGACCTCTAACCTTGGGATGACCCCAAACCCTGGAATGCCATCTGGAGGATCAGCTGACGCTGCCCAACCACAAGGCCTGGTGTGCTCTCCTGCCCTAAGGCAAGGCTAACCCTTCACTCAAGGTTGCCACAGGGAGGGTCAGCAGAGGCCACCCAACTGTGAGCCCTGATGTTGCACTGCTGACCCCCATCCCTGGGTCAAGCCCCCACAGACTCTCACCTGGGCGAAGAGGTGCTCCAGGACAGGCAGGTCAAGGATGGCACTGGCCAAGTCCTTGCGTAGCCCAAAGCGGTGGCATTTCTCCAGCCCAAACCAGTTGGGGAAGTAAAAGCTGCAGACAGAGGGAGAACCCTGGGGTGGTGGGCGTCCCGGCCTCAGTGTGGGTGGGGGTGTGGTGAGGGTTATGGAGGCCTTCCAGATCCTGGGTGGTGCCACTGACTTTTTTCTTTTTTTTAATTTTTATTGTGATTTGGGTGAAAGTTTATAGGGCAAATGCATTTTCAATACAGCAGTTCACACACATTTTGTTTCCTGATATTGACTGCAATTCTCCACAATGTAACAGCTCTCTTCCCACTTCCTCCCCATAGTTACCTCTTCCCTGTGTTCTTCCCTCCCATGCACTCCCACCGCCCCCCCCCCAGTTGTCTCCTTGTGCATACACTGCCCTTCTATTCTCCCATGATTGATCGCTTCAAGGAGTGTATCTACCTGATGTAAATGTTCACCCCATATGCCTGTCTATTGTCTGGCTGGAAGCCACAGGAGTGAGTTCAGTTGCAGACCTGAAGGGTAACTAGGGGCCATAGTCTCAGGGGTATCACCAGGCTCTATCAGACCAGCAAACCTTTTTTTCTTTTTTCTTTTTTCTTTTTTTTTATGATTTTGAGTTTTGTTCCACATTGTCCTCCCATTCTATCCAGGATCTCCTGCACCTATCCCCCTCTGAGTTGTTGACAGTGGTAGCCAGGCACCATCTAGTTCTTCTGGTCTCATGGTTGTATAGTATGCTATTGACTTTCTGTGAGGCCTTGGCAATCAACCCATCCTCTCTGGCCTCAGGTTCCTCATCTGTAAAATGGGTTAGTGATCATTTCAACCCTGGGGCACCAGAAGATATAGGAAGATGATAAAATTGTAGGGTCATTTTTGTTTTAAACTCCCATCTCTTAAGCCATCGTAAAAGGCTTGTGGTCTGGGTATCATTTTAGCCCACACCTATTGGGGCGGGGGGCATCTCCTACCGGAGCCTGTAGACCAGGACTTGAGTGCCCACGTCTTCCACAGAGAACACATGGCTTGGTGGGAACCAGCAGGACAGGTCTTCAGTGGCCAGGGCAAAGAGGGAATGGTACACAGGCAGGATTCCTGCAGGGACAGCCTGGTTAGCTGCCTCCTAAGTTGCCCAACCTGTCCCCCTGCGTGGCTTCCAGGGTCACCCCCATGCAGCCCCACAGGGTTCTTCCTTACCTTTAACTCTGACACCATGTCCCACCCCCTGTTCACACACACGCTGGGGCTCCCTATTGCCATCAGGATAGAAGCCACTCGCTCAGCCCATTTTTCAAGGCTCCCTATGCCCCTTCCCAGACCACCTCCTTCCTCTCTGCACTTTCCTCAAGTGGTGACCAGCTGTGGCTTCTTGTGCCATCACACCCCTGAGATTTCACACGTGCCATTCCTTCTGCCGCAAATGTCCACCTTGTACATCCTCCTCCCTTAAAACCAAACCCTTTGCCGTCGAGTGGATTTCAACTCATAGTGACCCTAATGGACAGAGTAGAACTGCCCCACAGGGTTTCCAAGGCTGTGAATCTTTACGGAAGCAAACTGCCGCATCTTTCTCCCGAGGAGCCACTGGTGCATTCAAACTGCTGACTTTTTGGTTAGCAGCCGAGTGCTTAATGACTGTGCCACCAGGGCTCCTCCTCCTCCTCCTCCTCCTTTCCCAAACTCTAATTTATCGCCCAAAGCCCAGCTCCGATCTGCCTCCTGCGGCTTCCCATCACCCCCCTTCCCCACGTCCCTAGCCCTCCCTCTAGCCCAGCCCACTCACCGCTGGCCTTGGCAGCTCGCACACACAGCTCCTCAGCCGAGTGCTCCCCAAAGGAGACGGACAGTCGCTGAGGGGGCCCTGGGCCCCTAGGTGGGAGCAGCACATGCAGAGCACCGGCCTCTGAGGAGGAGAGGCTGCAGGATCGCTGGGAGATCAGGGGCGTCTCCTCACTCGGAGGGGCCATGGGTGCAGCCTGCCTGTGGCACGGGGAGACGCGGCCCCTCAGTGCCAGGCAGGAGGCCCCACCCCATCCACGGGCAGAAGGGCCAGGATTTCTTTGCAGGGGAGGGTAAGCAGTGAACAGAGATGCTGTAGGGTGGTGGTAGGGATGGAAACAAGGTGGGGGTGGGTGGCTGGTAAGAGAAGGAGGGACAGAGACACAAACAGAAAAAAAGAGAGACGGAGAGAGACAATAAGAATCAAAGGGAGGGAGAGATGGAGCTAACTGCACAGGCCATAACCCCCATGTAAGGGCTTAGCTGGGGGCTAAAGGGCGTGGAATGAGGGATATCATTGCTGATGTCAGACAGATCCCGGCTGAAAACAAAGAGTACCAGAAAGATGTTTACTTGTGTTTTACTGACTATGCAAAAGCATTCGGCTATATGAATCGTAACAAATTATGAATAATATTAAGAAGAATGAGGATTCCAGAACACTTAATTGTGCTCATGAGAAACCTGTACATAGACCAGGAGGCTGTTGTTTGAACAGGACAAGGGGATAGTGCATGGTTTAAAATCAGAAAGGGAGTGTGTCAGGGTTGTATCCTTTTACCATACTTATTCAATCTGTATGCTGAGCAAATAATCCAAGAAGCTGGACTAGATGAAGAAGAACATGGCATCAGGATTGGAGGAAGAGTCATTAACAACCTGCAATATGCACGTGACATAACCTTGCTTGCTGAAAGTGAAGTAGACTTGAAGCACTTACTGATGAAGATCAAAGACTACAGTCTGCGTATGGATTACACCTCAACATAATAAAGAAAACAAAAATCCTCACAACTGGACCAATAAGCAACATCATGATAAATGAAGAAAAGATTGAAGTTGTCAAAGACTTCATATTACTTGGTTCCATAATCAGACTAATGGAAGCAGCAGTCAGGAAATCAGACGACTTATTGCACTGGGCAAATTCTGCTACAAAAGACCTTTTTGAAGGGCTGACGAGCAAAGATGTCTCTTTGAAGACTAAGGTGCACCTAACCCAGTCCATGGTATTTTCAGTCACCTCATATGCATGTGAAAGCTGAACAAGGAATAAGGAAGACCTAAGAAGAGTTGAGGAGCTCTGGTAGCGTAGTGCCTAAGGCACTTGACTGCTAACCAGAAGACTGGCAGTTCAAACGCACCAGCCACTCCTCGGAAGGAAGATGGGACAATCTACTTCCATAGAGATACCGCCTCAGAAACCCAAGGAGGGGTCGCTGTGAATCAGGTCTGACTCGACGGCACATAGCAACAAGAGTTGATGCTTTTGAGTTGTGGTGTTGGTGAAGAATACTGAAAGAACCATGGACTGTCAGAAGAACTAATCTGTCCTGGAAGAAGTGCAGCCAGAATACTCCTTGGAAGTGAGAATGGCCAGACTTTGTCTCACATACTTTGGTCATGTTGTCAGAAGAGACCGTTCCCTGGACAAGGATATCATGCTTGGTAAAACGGAGGGTCAGTGGAAAAGGAGAAGGCCCTCAATGAGATGGATTGATACAGTGGCTGCAACAATGGGTTCAGGTATAGCAAGTATTGTAAAGGCTGGTACAGGACTTGGTGGTATTTGTTCTGTTGTACAAAGGGTCACTATGGGTTGGAGCCAACTTGATGGCACCTAAGGTACCCAGGTTTCTATGAACTCACACCCAATGGATTTGTCTGTGCATGGGCCAGACATCACAAATCCATCTGCAGTTTCTATCCCTGCAACACAGTCTGTACCCCAAGCAGGCAGAAGTAATCAATCACAGATGTACAGATTTGCCCAACCAGGAAGAAGATATAGATGCTGGCTTGGTGTACCCACGTGTGCATGGACAGGGGTGGAGGACAAGAGCAACTGTCACTCCCTGTGAGACTGGGGAACTCAAGCACTTCCGAGGTTGGAGGCCCAGAGCCTGGTGTGATGCCTGTTCTGGGGGCTAGGCCGGGGGAGGGTCCAGTCTGTGGACTCAGCCAATGAGGAGAGATCTCTGTGGCTGTCTCTGTCTTTTCACCATCTCTGTCTCATTGTCACTGTCTCATGCATCAACACACACCCCCATTTAGCCCTCCAAGCATTTTCCTTCTTCCTCCTTCAGGCCCCCATGGCTGAAAGTCCACTATGAGTGTACACAGGAGGAAACCACTCCCATTCTTAGGCCCCCAACACCTCCCAACCTGCAGGCGGTCTCCAGGCTCAGGGTCTCTGTTAGGCAGGGTGAGGGGTTGGGCTTCAAGTCAAGTGAGGAAAGGGGTAAAGGTGAACAAGATCCACTGGAATTGACCTGCAGGAAGCTCCAAAGAGAATTGGGATAAAAATCTATGTTCCAAAACAAGACCCCACAAACCAAACACATGGCCATCAAATTGATTCTGACTCATAGTGATTCTATAGGACAGAGCAGAACTGCCTCGTGGAGTTTCCAAGGCTTTAATCTTTACAATACCAGATTGCTACATCTTTTTCCCCCAAAGTGGCTATTGGGTTCCAACCACCACCTTTTAGGTTAGCAGCTGAGTGCTTAACTGCTGTGTCACCAGGGCTCCAATAAGACACCAGGGGGAAGCATTCAGACTTTTAACACCCAGAATATTCACCCGTCACTGAAAACCCAAGGTGAAGGGTCAAGGGGTAGGTGAAGACCCAAGACTCTGGGTTCAAATCTCTGCCCCACCATATCCCATAAGTTTTTACCTGGTGGTGTTGACAAAGAATACGGAATATACCATGGACTTGCAGAAGAACAAACTAATTAGTCTTAGAAGGAACACCACCAGGACATTCCTCTGAAGCAAGGATGGTGAGCCTCAGTTCATCAGGAAAGACCAATCAATAGAAAAGCCATCCTGATTGGTAAAGTAGAGGGTCGGGGAAAACAAGGGGACCTCAACAAGATGGATGGACTCAGGGGCCAGAACAGTGGACTCAGACATGCCAGTGATCGTGGGGTGGCACAGGACCCAGCAATGTTGAGTTTGTTGTGCGTGGGGCAGCCATGAGTTGGAGCTGACTGGATGACAAATAATAATAACACCATCACCATATCCCTTCCATGTGACCCCACCCTCTGGACCTCACCTTCCTTGGCTGTGACATGGGCTGACTCCCCCAGCCCCAGTAAGGTGGTTTGCTGAGCCCAGCCCTGCCAGCCATGTAATGACATTAACTCCTATCATCCTTGGCCATCTGCCCATTGAGTCCTCCACAAATGGTAGCTCAGTGTGCCAGGAAAGATCCCAGGAGCCGAGGTCAGGAAGGGAGGACATGAGAGAATGGAGAACTTTCCAGAAGGGATGTCCGCAGGGCTCAGGCCAGGATTCAGAACATCCCAAGCCCCAGGAGCCCCGGGGTCCCCCTGCTACCCCCACTGCAGTGACCACTGTCCTGCTTCTATGAACCAAGTGGGCTCTGCCCCTGTCTGCACTTTGTGTCAGTGGCATCATGTCACATGTCCTCCTGTTTCTCCCACATTGTTAGAAAATTGCAATATTAAAAAAAGTTTTTTAGTTAAACTGAGCATGTTGTTGTTGTTGTTGTTATGTGCCGTCGAGTCGGCCCCGACTCATACTCAACTGAGCACACAAACTGAGCATAGATATCTTAATATTTTTCCACAGTAAGAAATTGAAGGACCTACATTTGTAGCAAATTCAGTGGCAGTTTTAAAGTTAAGTTGCTATGCTGCTAAATTTCAGGGCATTCTCAATGCTTAACTATGGAATATGTTCAGAGGTCAAAGGAAATAACAGTTTCCTTTATTAGCACAAGGAGGCCTGGTGGTGCAGTGGTTAAGTGCTGCTAACTGAAACTAAAAGGAACATCCGCTCTGGTGGCGCAGTGCCTAAGGCATTTGACTGCTGACCAGAAGACTGGAGGTTCAAACCCGTCAGCCACTCCTCAGAAGGAAGACTGGGCAATCTACTTTCGTAGAGGTACTGCTTCAGAAACCCAAGGAGGGGTAACTCTCTATAAGTCGGATCTGACACAACAGCAGTGAGTTTGGTTTAGGAGCTCTGGTAGCATAGTGCCTAAGGCACTTGACTGCTAATCAGAAGGCTGGCGGTTCAAATCCACCAGCCACTCCTCAGAAGGAAGGTTGGGCAATCTACTTCCATAGTGATACTGCCTCGGAAACCCAAGGAGGGAGTCACTATGAGTCGGGTCCGACTCCATGGCACATAACAACAACAACTAAAAGGTCACTAGTTCGAGCCCACAGGAGGCAGCGCGGGAGAAAGGTGTGGCTGTCTGCTTTCACAGAGATTTATAGCTGCAAGAACCCTATGGGGAAGTTCTATTCTGCCCTATGGTGTCACTATGAGTTGGAATCTACTCAAAAGCAAAGAGTTTATTCTCACTATATTGTAAGTGGACAATGCAATGTCTTAATGAAAATGGTTTTTGAAATTGGCACTATAAAAAAAAAAAACCACTTCCTTTTTCCCTTTCTCACAGTGATTGTTGTTGTTAGTTGCTATTGAGTCAGTTCTGACTCCTGGTGCCTCCATGTGTGCAGAGTGGAACTGTCCCATAGAGTTTTCAAGGCTGTGACCTTTCAAAAGCAGATTCCCAGGCCTGTCTTCCAAGGAATTTCTGGGAGGATTCAAACCAACAACTTTTGGCTAATGGTGGAGTGCATAACCTTTTGCATCACACAGAGACTCCAAAAGATACAACAAAAAAGAAAAAAAAAAATTAATGTGATTTTTTTTAAGAATTGAAAGGAAAAAAAATTCAGAGGGAGTGTTGTGGCCCAAAGCCCCACTGCCATTGAGTGAATTCCAACTCACAGTGACCCTATAGGACAGAGTAGAACTGCCCCATAGGGTTTTTGAGATTGTAAATCTTTATGGAAGCAGACTACCTCATCTTTCTTCCGTGGAGCAGCTGATGGGTTCAAACTGCCAACCTTTTGGTTAGCAGCTGAGTGCTTTAACCACTGCTCCACCAGAGCTCCTGTGACCCAGAAGACACTGCTAT